CATAAGGTGAACCACAAACAGAAAGTACGTTTATTTCCGTAGGGATTATGGGAAAGAAATTTGTATGTCTTACCCCACATCTGAAAAAATAATTACTACTGGACCGAGCCAAAATAGTTAAATATCAGAATCTGGTTTGTTTATCAGGTGGATAGTCTCAGGCAAATATTACAGATGTTATACTATAATCCAAAGATAAAAAGGGTGTTTTGCCTTCTCTCTTAGAAATACTGAACTGGCACTGGACCGATCCTATCATCATATCCCTGTGACACAAATTAGTACTCTTACATTTCATCAGTAACATATACAACATTCTATGGGGCTCACACTGTTGCATCTTACAACATAAGAACTATGACTGGATGCCAGTAGTTCCCATAATGCCACTGAGTATGGACATTAAAATTATTGAAATTGCTTAGCATTGCCATAAGGTTTGATATTTCTTTAAGATAAAATGCAATGTCCAGACAGTCTGTGTCAGATTGTTTCACTCAAGTTCAAACAAATAAATCTCCACTGATTAAGTACCCAATCAAAACGCAAAAATAACAGCTGAAATATTTGAAATCTGTCCGAAGGGACAGAACATCTTAATTCTTTTATCCCAGAGTGAGTGAGTGAATGAGTGAGTGAGTGAAGTGTTTTCTTTTTCCAGTGATTGATGTAGGCATGGTGCAGTTTAGTTTGGTGCCAGGAAACGGGTCAGGATTGTTGATGAGGTGTTCCGTAAGGGCAGATTCCAAGTCACCCTGACCATCTGAACATCAATCACTGGCATTAAGACTTTAAGAGACTACCAGGGCTCCAGATAATTTTTCAACATCAGGAGTACTGTAAAACTTAAGAGTACATTTAGAGTACTGAATGGAATTTAATGGCGTATCAGTAATCTTGTCTTTAATTTCATATATGCACCACAACATTGCTACTCTTGTGTAAACAGGTCAATAAACAATAAAACAATAAATTTTCAAGATAAATACATCTGTAAATGATTCTAAGACCGTACACCATTGCTGTGGTGCGTATCTGCTACATTTTCTAAATTATTTCCTACCGTATCGTGCATATTTTTTACCTGTTTACATACACCGATACGGACCTTATCTGGAGCCCTGGACTACAGAAATCTAGAGAAGGAAGCTAGTCATTGGCTTTCGCATATAGTGTTAAATTTACATGTTAATCCTACTTTTGAGAACACCTGAACATGTATGTTTATGAACTCATCATTCTGACTCAATATTCATCTGATGAAAGGGCAGGAGAGAGTCCTAAGATATCCTAAATGATGACAGTCAAAAACTCAATTGTCAGGAGCAGATGTCACTGAACGTCCACTGATTCTGTTCCTGCTAAGAACTTGTGTGTCTTGATTTCTTAATACATCTGATGTAAGTTAGGTCACCTGGCTTGATATGTGATACAAAAAACTACCTTGTACAATAAAAATGACTCTGAATCACATGGTCACTGTCTATTTGTTTAAAGTCCTATGAGTTCTCCACTGTATCTGAATGTTGAGCTTGTGAATGAGGAGCTTGCTCAAAATATACCCTTAACAAAAGCCAGACTGCTTTGGGCAAGAAATTGCCCAGCCAAGGTATCTCTTTTGGTTGCTGTTAATTGTTTTCTGTCAAAACTGTAAACTGGGTGTCAGAGAGATGTCAGAGACTTATACAGCAGCCTTATGTATCTGTGACAGCTGTGTGAGCAGAGAAGACACAATCTCAACCCCTTACCATAGGCTCCGGGAATTCACTAGTATTTCCTGGCTGCTCTGAAATGGAGATTATTCACAGTGCCCCTATATCTTTCTCTTCTACAATATCTCATCTTCTCTGTTTGAGATGTGAAAACCAGTTATTTAGGGTTGGATATAAAGGAGAGGTGGGAGAGAATAACCATCACAGCATCATACATCAGGACAGAAAGTTGGGGCTATTTAGTTATGGAAGTACCATAACTGACGTGTAGTGATGCGATGAAGCCACGATGTGATGCCTATCATAATATAAGTGCGATATAATTCATATTGTGATACAGTGCTTTTACTTCATAAGTTCATATTCTCTCAATATTGTTGTATCGGCACAACAATTATGATTCAGATTTGGAAAATATTAAATGTAACACAGTATACTGAACAGTATGCGTTCTATCACATAAAAGATTTACTGATTGGTGTCCTTGGATGATAAGATAAGCATTTCAAGAACAGAGGGAATCATTTGGTCTGATCATCACTCATAATGTCAGATAGGATGATCTTTAGGATTAACCTTTTGGGAATATAAAGAGGTATTTATTGGGTTTTCGTTTACGTTATTTGAGACTGAACACACATTTGAAAGGACAGGAGATATAGATGACTTTAGTTTTCTTGGATTTTTAGAATAAATTACAACAAAACAATCTTACTTTGTCTCAGAAAAATGATGGTGATGATGCCAGAGTCTGCTTGTTGTTAAGAGATAAGCATCTTATTAGCATTTAGGCCATATACAATTTTTTCTTGTGGTTCTGATAACACCTCTTTAAAATTTAGGATGGGTAGGTGCATATTTTTTAAATATTTTTTTTTAGAAGTACAAACTAATAACACCGATGTCCTTTAGTGCCTTTGAAAAACAATGGTATCTGAAAGCTTATTCATACTGCTAACAGAGTAGGGCCAGCACCAGAATTCAAGGGTCGGTCGGGTAATCGAAACTAAACATTTTATTTTAGGGCCTTAACACTTTACTTGAGAAACAAAGAGTTGTCTTTCTGCAGGACACCTTGACTTCCTGTGATATGATTGACTTCAGCACCTGTGTGTCTTCTAACTTCCTGAAGCTTTCAGCATCCTTATTGTATTGTCAAATCAAGGCAGCCAAGCTTTCAGCATCCCTAATGTATTGTCAAGTCAAGGCAGCCAAGCTTTCAGAATCCTTATTGTATTGTCAAGTCAAGGCAGCCAAGCTTTCAGCATCCTTATTGTATTGTCAAATCAAGGCAGCCAAGCTTTCAGCATCCTTATTGTATTGTCAAGTCAAGGCAGCCAAGCTTTCAGCATCCTTATTGTATTGTCAAGTCAAGGCAGCCAAGCTTTCAGAATCCTTATTGTATTGTCAAGTCAAGGCAGCCAAGCTTTCAGCATCCTTATTGTATTGTCAAGTCAAGGCAGCCAAGCTTTCAGAATCCTTATTGTATTGTCAAGTCAAGGCAGCCAAGCTTTCAGAATCCTTATTGTATTGTCAAGTCAAGGCAGCCAAGCTTTCAGCATCCTTATTGTATTGTCAAGTCAAGGCAGCCAAGCTTTGGGTCATTCATGAAATAATACACAGATTTCTTAGGAGGGCCACATCAAAATATGACACAAACAGAAAAAGCACCAGATCAGCTCTTGCCAAATGTGTTTACAAAGTTTCATAAAGAATGTGGAACAGTTTATGAATACACTTTAATAATCCCTACACTAAACGAGCCTAGACAGATTCCATATTATGGCATAAGAATTGCAGAAAAAATGAAACATTCCTGAATATCAAAAGGCACCAGTTCAGTACATGCCTGATATGTCTGCAGAGTTCCATGAAGAAATATGTGTTGGTTTAAGAGTTAAGAGTTGAAATGAAACATAACAGAAACATAAACAACCCACATAAAATTTGTTAACTTAATGGAACAGATAACCATTATATTAATTAACTTACATGGAGTTGAAAAGAAAATCACTAGGACAGGTGTGAATATTTCATGTTATGCCAATGTCAAGGTCGCCTGCAAGTTGTACCAGCTAGGAGAATCCATTTGCCTAAACTTCAAGCAGTGAGGAAATACACTTCCCAGTGCCCCTGCAGGTATATGTTTACACAGGATGATAGACAGAAATTACACCCATTAGTCTGCTCAAACCTCCATGATGTAGGAAAACAAGCAGTACCTAGGAATCTGAATGAAGGATCCTTTAAGTGTGCCATGATAATGAAGCAGGAATACATTGCTACCACCTTGTATGATGCAACACTTTACTGTACCTGCTCTTTAGGCACAGGATCAAAGGAATTTAACTGTTATATTCTTGTGATGTGTCTGATGAGAACGATGCTGAACACTGTGTAACAGACACTTTTTTGTTCATGGACAGGTGTATAATAAATTCTTAAGTTCCCTTTTTTTTCGACTCCCAGTGAAGTCGTTTCTGACATGATGCCCAAATGATTCTAGTCTTCTAATATGCGAGAATGAATAGACTACACAGCAAAACTATTGAAAGTTACTGCATGCTAGTTAATTATTTGTACTTGAATACCTGGTGAAGGTATTTATGAAAAGCCTACCTGTTCAAACGGCATCATTTTAAGAGCTTTTGACCTGCATATTCTGTGTACTGATGCACAGTGTTGTGCATTCCACCATCATCTGTGGTCAGATGATGAATCAGGCAAGCTGTACCTTATCAAATAACAACATTAAAGAGCCAAAAGAGATGTCAAGAAATTTTGAAAATCTAAAACTTCAAATCTAAGTGATGTGAATCTGTGTGATTTGAATTCCCCAGATAAATATATTCCCAGGCATGTTACTGTAATATCAATATGATGCATGTACAATGTAAATACCAACATTGTGAGACATGTAAATGTGTATTAAGTGACTGGCCTTATGGATTATTTATTTTCTGAGTCCGTAATTCAATCATTAATAACCACAAACGTGCACAGCATATTTGAACTGCAGCACCAGAACACACATGCTCTGTTTCTACAGCTATGTAAATGGACGACGGAACATCCATGATCACGATAATGAGAGCTATTACACTGGCTATATATTTTCTCAGCAATTATATTAAATGTCATTGGTTCAAATTACACAGTCAAGCTGGATACTGGCATCTGTATGGTATTTTATAATTGGTGTTTGTGCTCCAATTATGTTTGATTAATGTAGCGGATAATTAAACAACCGTTAAGATATTTGTGTTTGTGGATCAGTTTGGTTGAGGTTTCGGAGAGGAGGGAACCCCTCCTCGTTGCCGCTGCTAAGAATAGATGTTTGACGAAGATGCTGGCTACACATTCAAGCAACTGATTTCGGATGTAGCCAGCATGAGAGGCTGACCAGCTCTCCAGAGATTGTGAGTATATTAAAAGTAGTTTTGAGGGAAATATGCTATAGTTTTTCAAATTCAACCATTTTGTTTTGCGTTACTTGAATGTATGGGAGGTGGAGGATAAGTACTTATGGGATGTGTAAATTAATCGGGAGCATCATCATTATGCTATGTTTCTTCCATGGAATGGCAGGAGCAATGCTCTGTGGTGTGAGGCAACACACTTTTTTATAGAAATTGTCTGAGTGGCGAGTTCTACTGGCGGTGTAGGACATGCCAATCCTTTCATCTGACACCTGTTATCTGTACAGAGTTTTAGTGGTCCATTTATACAGTTCTCACCGTTATTTGTCTATTACGCCCAATTGGAATCTGTTCTGTTGAATGATTAAGGCTGGTTGTTCTCGGGGGCAATGACCTTATACACTGTAAAATGTGCACCAGTTCTTTTCTAAAACATAGATTGTGTTTCCATTAGCAGATTTCCTTTTTATCTGACTGTGTATCTCTGTACTTTGTTCTGAGTGGTCAAAAGGAGGAAAAATTCTTATCACGTGATCTGTGACCTTTACGTTATGTTACTTGGGATGGGGGTTGGGGGGTGGAGGTTATGTTTGTCTTTAAGAAAAGTTTCCCAGAATTTCTTACAGGGTATACTATAACAGTGATGTTTACAAATGTCCATGTAATTAGCATTCATTCGTCACTCAGAAGGACTGGGTTCATTCCCCATATGGACATAATGTGTGACTCCCCTTGCTGGTGACCCCTGTTGTGTCACAACCCACCCACCCACCCACTCCACTCACTCACTCACTCACTGTTTGTATGTCACCATAGATGTTCTGGTCACCCACCACTCAGCACCACCAGACACTCACTCACTCACTCACTCACTCACTCACTGTTTCTATGTTCCATAGATGTTCTGGTCAATATATGTCCAAACAGAGTTCTTGAAGAGCTCCAGAGACTAGCAGACAATCCAGGCACTCTCTTTATGGTCTAATCAGTGTACGTAATGTTTGGCACCATGCCTGTTATTTGTACACTGTGGTATGAGGACCTAATGAAATGACAAGTGTGACAACAGAAGACATCAGTTTCACCCTTTTAATCTGTTTCCAGACTTTTTATTTTGTTCTTATTGGTGCCAGTGTTGTGTGTATGTGATATATCTGATTTTAGAGCTGAATATATTACTCACTTGACCGTGCCATCAACAGTATATGATTTTTAAACTAAATTTTGATTCGATGTGCAGCTATAAAGGCTGCCCAATTTGGGGTTTCATGTTGTCAGTGAATGGGATCAGCAACAAATAAAAGTTCATTTGCAGTTCTTAAGTGTATATCCTTCTCAGACATTGTCTCAATAGAATTCTTTAGTCTTTACTTGTAAATAATTACAAAGGCATCAGAGAAGAATTGTTAACAAAGACATTAGTTCAGAAGGATTCAATGATACTGTCAGATTATTTCCTGCTTCTTGCAATTCACATTTCTTGTTTATGTGTCTTCAGAATTGAGGCCATGGAAGGTTTAGAGTCAGGAACAGGTGCCTGTGTTTTGCTTAATTTGCATTTGGAGGTTGGAGATCCTGTGGTGGAGATCAAGATATGTCAAGCTCTTCCTGAGTGAGAGTCAGGATGTGTTCTAGTTCTGGGCAGGACAGTGGGAGTTTTCTATCACGTATCTTAATGCTCCAGAAACTTCTGGAATATTGCCACTTCAATCAGTGTCCTGATAAAAAACACTGGAGGAAGAGGATTTAAGGCTATTTCTGACCCATGGTTATCGGTCGTGTTTGGGGTGTTTTTTTTTCATCTGAAGGTGACAGAGATAGATTGGTCTAATATCTTGAAATGTGAAGGGACATGGGTAGGGGGTTTTGGGTCCCTGAAGGAAAGATGATTGCTGTTATCTGTGCACTAAGTGTATCTACTTTGGGACTTTCCTGTGTGACTGCAAGATGTGGAAACAAACATTTCTGCACCTGAGGGATGTTTTAGGCTTTCAGAAAAGGGAAATTGCTGTTTTAAATCACTGGACAGAAGGCTGTATGTCACACATTTGTTGTCAAAGCATCTTTTCCATACAAACAATGAGATTACCCCCAGTTTTTTTCTATTTTAAATTGTATTGTGTGAGGTATAATCTTACTGAAGCAGATGATCTTGTCAGCCAAACAAAATCCTCAATATTATAACAAAGATTCCCACTAACATGAAATGCATGTGATATACATGTTCATTTACCTGGCTTACACAAAGAACAGGCTAGGAGAATAGCATGAATAATACTGTTGCCCACAAAACTGTATAACACAAACAAGAAATGTTTTTGTCCAACCTTTTTATTGAATTTTTAAGTAAACAAAATATGTGAACTGTCACTGCTTCATATACAATGGTTAATTATTATTACTTAGTCATTTTTGTTCAAGATGCAGAAAAAAACATTTTCAAGATGTTAAGAAAATATGTGCATGTTTTGTTAGAAAAACATATTTTCTGGTTTTCAAAATGTTTAAGTTGGACCTATAGTGGACCTTTGCACTTTGACCATGCTAAAATATTCTCTCAAAATTGTTTTTCCATGCACCGTAAACATCATTTCCTCAGACACCACACACTGTGCTGATGAAGCTATAATGCTTCCTCCAACATGACAGCTGAATTTGCTCAGGAGGTGCAGATGCAAGTTTCGATATGGCGGCCTTGGCAGACATATTGTAAAAGCAATTCATGTCCATTTTATACAATATATCCAGGTGCTTTCATGTGAACACCATTTTGAATTAAAGCTTTCTGGATCCATGCAGGGATGCAGGTTGGTAGGTTAAGGTATTGGAAAACTAGATGTTTGTCTTTTTGAACAAAGTGACTAAGGTTGAGACAAATGATAAGTGTGCAGTGTTATAAAAATGGAAAGTGAAATTAAACTTTATTTTAAAAAAAAGAGTAGTTTAAAAAAGTATGTGAACTCCAAATCTGTTGGCATCATTGTGATGCCAAGGCTTCAAGAAAAAAACTTAATTTCCGAAATAATTGTTGACAGTGTCATCTTTGTTGATAACAAGGCTTCATTGAAATTAACAAGTTTGATAATTTAGCTGTGTAAATATGTCAACTGATTGTAAGGGGTGTGCAGTATGTGACATTGAATTATCTGATATTTGATGTATTTATGCTACTTTCAAGTTAAGGCTGGTGCCAACATGACATCAGCCTTTTGTCGTTGATTAAAAGCTGAGGGTTTAAGTTTGTGGTTGGCGAACTGTCAGCAGCAGACATTTCAAATAATGTAACAAGGCTTGTGTATGTGTGGGGCTGGTTGTTCTGGCTGGTGGTTTCAGATGTTTCAGCAAAGTAAGTAACTAAGTATCCATGCATCAGGTGGAAATTGTATATTTACCCAAACTTAAGAACTGGCCTTGAAATCTTGTTTGTGAGTGTATTGATGGATTGAGGGTTTCCAATGGAATAAGTGGGTTTTCTTTTGGATTGCAGATTTCCAAATAGAATGTCAGTGTCTTGTATGTTTCTGTGGGTTCCTTTGGAATTGTGGATTTCCATTGTGTTCCTGTATTCACAGTGTTCAGTAGTATTCCCGTGGGGTGCTGGGTTTTCTGCATGAATGTGGGTTTCTATGATCGTAGGTGACAAACGCCCCTAGGGAATTCGTTAACAGATCAGACATTCAGTGTATGCTCACACTATCAACCATTGTTTCATCTTCTTTTACATGGTTAGTTTTTGGCTCCAAAGACATATTGTACAGTGTCCAGGAGTGAGTGAGTATGGTTGTATGCCTCTTGTAGCAATATTCCAGCAATATAATGGTGGGGGACACAAGAAATGGGCTTCACACATTGTACCCATGTGGGGAAACGAACCAGGGTCTTCGGTGTGATGAGCCAAAGCTTTAACCACTAGGCTACCCTACTGCCCCTTACAGTGTCCAGGAATGATAACAGTAACTTGATGACTTCCCTCAAGACATTCTGTAGCAAGTATAAAAGTTATTACTGAAGAATTCCAGGGCGTTTTGTAAAAGGGTGGCTGGTCACTAAAGACCCGGGGTTGATCCTCACATAGGTATAGTGTGAAGCACATTTCTGGTGTTGCTTGCTGTTAGATTGCAGGAATATTGTCAAAAGTGGTGTGAAACCATACTCACCTGCTGTTCAGAAAGGCAAACAAAGATGGAGATTTGATGACTTGACTAATTGTATGCCATATTGTACCCTGATGGTGCAGTGTTCACCAGCTATAGGTTCATGAGTGGTTATTTACATCAGCAGCTGGAATATTGCTGACAGTGACAATGTAGCTGGAATACTGCTGATGGTGTAAAACTAAAAATATATTATTATGGATGAGGAATCCCTAATTCTCTCATTCCAACCTGCAGCAGATTTTCAAGAAGTAAATCATTGCCGTATGTTAAATTGTCATAACCCATACAAGCATCACTGTTAAGCCCAGCACCACAACCACCAAATCCTACCTGTGAAACCTGCCTGCTTCCAAGTACTCAATTACAGCGTTATGTGTGTAAGCACCCCAATTTCCCCTTCATTTAGAAAAATACCAGAGGTGCTCAAAATCCTTTTCTTTCTATGGGGAGTGGTTTGAATCATCAGAATGAGGATAATTTTCTTGATTCAATCCCTGACAGGCAATTATCACCTGGCTTTGATCTGCCTAACGAATCTGTATTAACACATGTAGGTAATTACACTACAGAGGGTAGAACAGGAAGAAGAAGATGAGCTCTAGATGCAGTAATTGTGGATTCCAGTGATTCGTCTGTCATTGGATTACATCGTAAACTGTAATTTCATGAAAGCGGAAGATCTTTAAACCTGATCACATGGGAACAATGTCTTAACAAAGATGGCACTTTGCCCATGTTGTAAATTCCTGCCTTTATTGTGTCCAGATGTTTGGGATAAAAGAAATCACTTCTAGAAAATGGAATGTGCAATTTCATATATAGGAAATTGATTATACATTTGTT